TGAATAATTAATTAGTAATTCTATTTGCAAATTATGGATTGGGCCAGGCTTGTTGGGTCAGGCTTGGGTTGGGTGGGCTTGGGTTGGGCCAGGCTTGGGTTGGGTTGGGTTGGGTTGGGCTAAGCTTAGGTTGGGTTTGGGCTTATATTTCAAACCCGTGATGAATTGGGCCAGGCTTGAACTGGGTTTATAATTCTATGGGCTGGGCTTAGGTTTAGATAAACCCAGCCCAACCCGGCCCATTGAGAACCCAAAATAATGACCAGTCATTCTGAAGTCATTTCAGGTCATTTGCAAAATAGGCAAATGACTAGGTCATTTACTATTCCTGTTCTAACAAGCTCTTTCAGATAGCATTTAGTGTTTGAATTAGGATGGTTGAGATATGGCTCATGATTTGTGAGGCATTTGATCACCATCTTATGCATGTTGGATTGGGTTTCAGACTTTTGGACCGGATTCAAACTTTTGAACTGGACTCAAACTTTTGAACCAGATTCAAACCAGACTCGAACCAAGCCAAAAGTTTGATATTCAGACGACTTGGACCGGACTGAGTTATAAAATAGTTCATATCCACTGATTTGATTTTTAGGGGTCTTTTTTCGATAAACCATTACACAAACTTCTGCTATTAAGTGACGTGAAGAATAACAAACGAAAACTTCAAATAATATAGTTTTTTGGCCTCTATATGAGATAAATAAGCAATAAATATTCAAAGAACAGCTATGCCAAGCTATAAAAGAAAGCACAATTACTAGTTGTTGAAGCGTTTTGGTATTTTTGGGTAGAAAAGGATCAGTTTGTCATTGTTTGATCGGTTGTATAATGGGTAAGGGTAAATTCGGAAGGACTTTTCAGAAAAACTACCTTTTAACTTACTTTTTAAACATGTAGATATTACAATATTCTATACACTTAATTATGGATTATAAGTAAGTTTAAAAGACTGTTGTTGTCAAAACTCACTTTGTAATAAATTTTAATAGCAAATAATTCTCGATCATGATTGGCTAATTTTGGGGTGAAACCAAATCGGTGGATATGTTGAGTCCAAGTCCAGTTTCAAAATTCAAACTGGACTCAGACTTGCCTAAAGTCCAGTCTCAGTCTGGGCCTGTTGGAGGCCTAACTAGTGTGATTATAGCCAGATGTAACTGTATTATATAAATAATACTTTTCTTGTAAGTCTCTATATTTAGTCTCTTTCTATTATTTTTTTTTAGTAAACAAAACCTCATTAAATAGTTAGCTAAGTAGTTACTAAATTTTCTAATTTCAGATATAGAGTAGATATAGGGTGTCATAAGTTAAAAGGGCCATTTTTAATCTATTTTAGTTTGATACAGTATAATTGAGTTTAATCATTTATTTTGATTTTTAGACTGATCTTGGATTAATCAAATTTCATGATTTTGAGGTAAAGGTAACAGGTAACTATTGGATAATCTCATGATGTGTTTGTCCTATGCAACCTTGTGTAATTTTTCTTTTACATTATCTTGATTTTTTATTATACAAATCAAGTTTTCTTTGTAATTGAAAAATGTCAATCATATTAAAATTTATATGAATCTAATAAAACTCATTTTTCAAAAAATTGTAAAAAGGGCCATTTTATCTGTTTTACAGAAAAGATAATCTATTAGAGCCCAAAAAAAATATTGTAAAACATATAAAAAAATTCTTATTAATTGGGATCACTCATGAAATAGTCTACCTTGCTAATTATTATTACAAAATTCATCACATGGGTCATGGACTAGTAAAAAGGCCTTATGGCTTTTTCCGAAATTTTTGAAATTTTGGATTCAAATTAAAATATTAGTTCTTGTTAGTATGAAGTATATTTTTTTGTTCTATAATGATCTAGTAAATTATTGAGATATTTTAACTTGAAGGCAGACAATTTTTAAACATTTATATTCTAAAAATAGATTGACAGCAAAAGATTGATGGCTCAATTAAATTGGATTGGTCAATCAATGTTTTTATGTCTAAAAATAAACAAAATTCAGAGATAAAAATTTAGGTTTCACAAACACATATTACTATTTTTCTCAAATGTAAAATATGCTCGAAAGCCTCCTTTTGCCAGTCCATGACCCACATGTTCTACGATTTTTCAAAACAGCTGCAATAGGCAGAAGTTTGTCCAAAACATGAACGTTAAATTGATTTATTCTATCAATTTTTTTAAGGGTGCTTTTAGGCATCTGGGATCTTTGACCTAAATAATCAATTAAAATACTTGATTTACGTTTTCGTGTAAAACAAAGAATTATCACCCCAAATCAGTCTGACGAGACCAAAACAACTATGAAACAGAAAAAAAAAGCAATAACTACGAAAAATACAAGAAACAGCTATCTAATCTATGTCCAGGCACTAATAAAAGATGTCAAGAAGGCATTTACCTATAATACTTGCCCTCACTCCAACCCAACCCTAACCCAATTAAAATCGTTTAGCCAAACATCATTTTAGCATAACTAGATATCTCAGCTCAGAGACGCCTATAATTCCCTTTTTTTAAATTCGGTTATATTATTAATAAAAACAGAAGAAAGTTGAAAAATTGCATGAATAAATGAAAAAATTTGTATCCTAAGTGCATATAGAATGGAAAATAGGTACTGTATTTACTATAAATCAAAATACAAATATAACTCAAATATTACGAACTTTTAGAATCAATAAACCCAAACACGCTATAGTAAATCAATATCTAGAATATTCGAAAACATATTAGTATTGAAAATTGTTATAACTAGTGTTTCTATCCTAAATTCGACAATCTAGATTGGTCCTTCAATCCAGATACTCGGATTGGTCAAAGAACTTAAATTATGGACCTAAGGATGTACCAAAAGTTAGCTTTATACATACCGTAATCTGATGCGGATTCAATCCGGATTCGGATGGCTGTCAAAATTAGGATCGAAACACTAGTTTTAACAATAAGTTTCATAATAAACATGACGTCATTATACCTTAAAGAGAATTAAACCTATTAAGTATTTTGTCTAGTAGAAATGTTTTTAACAAACAATCGCGACTACCTTTAATCGGCTGATTATCTACTGTATGGTATATAATATACAGTTACATAATTTGTATGGCCCAATACTGCAATAAGATTTAATTCGATTCTTTTTCACAGTGAACGTTGATAATTCGCTAAAGCTATGAATGAGATTTGATGTGATTTTGTCACTCGATTACAACATGGCACAAACAACTACGAAATACACTATACGGGATGTCGCCTCGCTGCTCATATGGTTCACAGCTCGTCCCTAGGATCAATTATTTATTCCCTCGTTATTTCGCCTGGTTCCGGATATGTTTTGATATCCAACCAATCTTACCCTGGCTGTCCACCCGGGCTATCAAATCCCTTACCATAACTAATTGAACCCTATTACCAGTCTTTCATCTAACTTCTCTCTGGCGGTGGGTGGGTGAGTATTTACGACAAAGCTAGACTAGCAGCAAAGACGAAAGAGGGAACAAAATTCCATTTTTCCCTTATATACCAATTCCAATGACCTAATCAATCGATACTCATCACACAATATTTCATTCCATTTATCAAACCATACATCAATCGTTCATCTATCGTCATGGGTCTGGGGCGTGATCTCGTGACAAATGAATGCCTCGTGACTTCGTTCACGGCATTACAGCATTACATTTTCTTTAGAACGTTATGTTCTTAAAAGTACTGTAAAAACATAAATTAGTTACCGGTACCCAGGAATTGATTTACATTAGCCTATTTTGTGCAATAAAATTTCAACCAATAAAATTCGATTATGCATAAAGACTACCCACTCAATATTGTCACAAATTTGGTTTTATCACATATGATGATCAAAACATGACCATTAACCAATCAAATTAATAACGTGACATTTGTTAATCAAAAAATATGATTAAAATCAATAACGATTTATTATCAGTTATCAAATTATTTATTATCAGCGAAGCTTTATTTAATTATATATTTTTAAATAGTAATTCGACACTATATTTCTGTCATCACCATATACTAGAGACGCATTTCAACTTTTAACTTATATTAAATTAAACAATATCGCTCATACGTATTTGATCTAAATCACATCTACACAACTACTATAAAATTATAACACACATGATATAAAATACTGTTAATTAAAATAATTGAAGATTATCTAAAACGTCTAGTATTTTTTTGTTGACTATATCTAGTAAACTAATGTTTTAGTTTTGAGATTAGTGAATATTAATACGAAGTAAAAAAAATTATCAATTTTGTAAGGTCTTACTGAATGAATATAAACACGGAAATTCATACCACAATACCGAAACTATTCTTGTATTCTGAAATAACTATTCTTGTTTGTTTAAAGATCTTTGCCACATACTGCACATGGCCCCGTGTTTTTACGTTGTCTATATTCTTTTTTTATTCGTGCTTAAATTTCTATCAAATAAAACCAATTCAGTATAATGTTTATAACAAAGTTGATAGTACAAACCAAGTTCAGCGTTTAAATTCTGAGCAGCAGGGTTTTGCATAGCTTTAAGTGAGAGTTTTAGTATTAGTTACGAAACTTTTCTCTGCCACATACTGCACAGGGTACCGTATTTCTATGTTGTGATTCCTTTGACATCGTCACTAATAAGTTTTTATTCTTGCGGGATCCTAAAAAACCGTTACGGGATCCCTGAAACTAAGGTCTTGGCGAATATAAATGTGAAATTTCCAACTGTCATATTTTTAGAAAAAAAGTTTTAGCTCTAGTTTTACAAAGCCCTAAATATTTACTATTGTATTTAATAAATCAACCAATTAATATTAATTTTACAATAATCACATTTTTTGTCGATCGGAAATAAATCCGCCCATATGTTTTATGTATACCTTCTGATTGGGCAAATCACGGGTGATCATCGCTATCACATGGTAAATCAATATAATTTAATTAAAATATTAAAAATTACAGTTTGGCGACGTGCCCGAGTGGTCCAAGGGGCCAGGTTTAGGCCCTGGTATGGAAACATGCGTGGGTTCAAACCCCACCGTCGTCATAATGGGATTTTTTGTTAAATTATTGCTATTATGGAGGTAGCGCAAAATTTAAAGCTTATTTTAGTTGAAAGCTTGAATTAATTCAGGATTTTTTTTTTATTATTTTATATTAGCAATTAAGGTCTGTCTGTTTATTCGCATAAATATTGTGAATAGGCAGCTATTAGACAGCTCAATAGACCATTATAAAACATCTCATGCGTTTGTCTGTATGCGCTGGGAATTTTTTTTTTTTTTTTTTTTTTTTTTTTGAGTTGCTTTAGTGTTGACGCTCTAAAACACTTAATGGACAACCGAATTTTAGAATCGAAGTGTAGTGAGACAGATTTCTGATCATATCATAGAGTATCTTCTACAATCGGTTGAAATTCGTGAACCCTGAAATTACCAAAAAAAGTTAATCATTGAATCATTGATATGACAGATATCTCTAGGTCACGAGAAATTACTGATTTAATAGTCGTACAGATGCAATATTGCAGATAACGCAGTAGCAATAGACCTTCTTTATATATACTATACAACCATAACGCTGTTTATAATGGCTGACAACTACGACACATATCGTTGAAAAATGCTTTCATTTATCAACATAGCTCGGCCTTTCTCAGGGCTTCGTCTTTTATTAAAGTCTCAGAAATTTCGTTTTTCTCCAGAGGTTTCTTCTTTCTCCGGAGGTTTCGCTTTTCGCCAAGGGTTTCGCCTTTCGCCAAGAATTTCGTCTTCCAAGGGCTCTGCCTTTCGTCTTTTTTCGGGCTTAGGTTCCATTTTTTGCCGTTTAAATAAAAATACTTTCGTCTTTCCCTATTTCATAAAATGGTTTCACTTAACAACTATAATTTGAATTACACAAAGATTCAACTTCTATAGAAAAATCGTTTTTTATGTCTCCTTTTCCAACAAGAACTCATACTTGCGGTGAATTACGATTATGTAATGTTGGCGAACGTGTAGTATTATGTGGATGGGTGCAAAAATTACGGTATTTTTATCTTTTAATTAATCCATTTTGAATTCCAAAACATGTTCAATTCTTAAATCTCAGTTTAAGTTATTGGCAGATAGGTTGACTTATAATCTCAAAATCGCGTTTTATTCTTGTTCCATAACAGTACAATATCTGCGGATTTATATTTTCTTCCATTACGAGATTCTTATGGAACAACTCAACTTGTTTATCGATCTTCTAGCGATCCGGAGAAAAGTCACCTTCTTAAAGATGAATTATTAAAACTGTCTCCTGAAAGTGTCATATGTATAGAAGGTATTGTGGTAAAAAGACCCGTTGAAACAATCAACAATGTAAGTCCCTATTTTTGACGCAATTTATTTTTATTTTTGATTAATCTAATTTTATTTAAAGCATTCAATGACAGGTGAAATTGAAATAGAATTGGATAAATTATACTGTCTTAATCCTGCAAATAAGTTACCTTTTGCTCCACATGAGAAGAATATTGTAAGCATTTTTATCTATTGTAATTTATTATTTTACTGTATTAAAAATTTGCTATTCTATTGTTTTTATAGCCAAATGAAGAGACTAGGATGAGATATCGTTGCATAGATTTACGACGTGATTCTCTTCAAAGTAACCTTCGTAAACGATCTCTGGCGTCATGGACTATAAAAGATTTTCTCGTAAAAGAAGGCAAGTAATAAATAATATATTTATATTTTTATATACGATTTTAACTAAAAGTACTTTTTAAATTTAGGATTCGTGGAAGTAGAAACACCAGCATTATTTAAGTCAACGCCTGAAGGTGCACGAGAATTTATTGTACCGACTCGAACAAAAAGCCTATTCTACACATTATCTCAGAGTCCACAACAAGTTGAGTTTTAAAAATATTTAATATCCAATTTTTTTTCTTACATATATTTAATGTTGTCACAAACTTATGTAAAACAGTTTCCTTCTTTTTTTGACATTATTTTTTTCAATTCGTTAATATTACAAGTATAAACAATTACTTATGGTTGGAGGAATTGACAAATATTTTCAATTTGCAAGATGTTTTCGTGATGAAGATTTAAGATCTGATCGGCAACCGGAATTCACTCAAGTATTCAATCTCCTTCGTCTTTATAACCTGATTTGTAATTGTTTTTATCTGATATATATATATATATACATTCCCTTCTAAATAATATAAAACAGATTGATCTCGAAATGTCATTTGCATCTATCAATAATATAATGTCTCTAACAGAAGGATTAATTACTAAAGTTTGGAAACAGGTTATTGGAGTTGATTTAAATGACAATTTGTCTTTTCCTAGAATTAGTTACGAAGATGCTATGAACAAAGTAACGTGTTATTATAACTATATTTGTTACAATGCATATATTATTTATATATTTAATTAATGTATTGATTACTTCTACTATAGTATGGAAGCGATAAACCTGATACACGATACGATTTAGAGGTATTTATTAATGTCTTCAATTTTTTAATTTTATAAAATTTAAATTATAAAAATGTATAAAATTACTATAGATCAAAGATATTTCTAAATTTGTACCTGGCATGTCAGAATCTTCTGAACACATTATTGAATGTCTAATAATTAAGAATGGAAGAATATTAACAGGAAGTGAAATTAAGTTTTTAAAGACTTTGAACCATGGCTTTGAGTTGCCAGCAGAAAGAATTATATCAGACTCTGTAAGTTCATTGTTGATCATGTAAATTTTATATTTTAAATTTTCTTATTTATGTTATGAAACCTTCTAGAGGCCTGACTTTATCAAAATTACGCCAGACAATATTAATTCATGGTTGTTAGAGTCTATTATAACACGTTATACTTCTCACATTTCTCAAAGACAAGAAGCGGCAACAAATGAGCTCGGAGTGGAAGTTGGAGACTTGATGATTATTAATAAGAGAAGGAGGATTACGGAGGTATGTTTTTGTTTAAAAAAAAAAAATGCAACATATAAAAAAAGGCAATAAGAAAATAATATATACATATGTATAATTTTCATTTTAATTTTTGTCCTAATAGGGAAATTGGACATTACTAGGACGTCTGCGTTCACACGTTGCAGGAATTTTAGAATCAAAGGGTATTTTTAAATTTACTCCCTGAATCATTTCCTTCATAGAATATATTAATCATGTTTGTCCTTTTTTAAAAAAACAATAGGGGCTTTAAAAATTCCATCTTCTAAATACAATTTCCTTTGGATTGAATCATTTCCGTTATTTACACGAGATAGAGAAAATAATAAGTTAGTTTCAACTCATCATCCATTTACCGCACCTGTTTCAGGTGATTTGAAGTTGCTTTTGACTGATCCCGAAAAGGTATAATAAAGATATAAGTGTATTTGGTAAAAAAAAAAAAAAAAAAAAAAANAAGGCGATAAAAATCGATTCGAAAATGAATAAAAAAAAAGAAGTATGAAATAATAAAAGAATAAAATTATTGTCGTTATTAATAATACGTAATTATCATATGTCAGGGTGAAACCCACGCTGGATTCTAGTAAAACCCGCTTTGATCATAGGGTTGGGGTGAATTCCGCGTTAGCATAGTGTTTTTTATATGTTAACGCGGATTTCACCCTCATGTGATCTACATAGCGGATTTAACCAAAATTCAGCGACCTGTCGTATAATAATAACATATTATTTGCATTACAATATATAAATAGGTCCGAGGACAACATTATGATTTAGTTGTAAATGGAGTGGAAATTGGTGGTGGTTCAGTTAGAATTCATTCTCCTTTGTTGCAGAAAATCATATTGGATGATATTCTAAAGGTATTTGTAGTATAAATTAATTCATTTATTTATTTAACTTATCACTTTCTTTTTTTTCATAGATGAGTCGAGCTAAAAAATCAGAGTTCGATCATTTAATTAATGCGCTTGGATATGGATGTCCTCCACATGGCGGAATTGCGTTGGGTAAGACATAAACCATAAAACCATAATTTGACTAAACAATCTCATTTTTTAAAAAAAAAAACTGATATAACCTCTATTGATAATAAATAATAGGATTAGATAGAATAATGTCTGTAATATGCAATACTAGCTCTATTCGTGAAGTAATGGCATTCCCAAAAGTTGCGTCAGGTGCCGATTTGAGCGTATCAAGTCCTAGTGAACTTTCTAAAGAAAAAATAAGAGAATACAAAGTCGATGTTTTGGAAGAAAAAGATGATAAAGATATTATTGATGATATTACAATTGGAAGAAGTTGGCCCACTATGAGCCTGAGAGACGTAACATATACTAAAGTGGAGATGTGTTGATTAAAAAAAATAAAAACATTTATAATTGAAAGAGAGAAATATTGGTATGCATTTGAAAAAGAAAATACCCTATGTGTAAAAATCATACTTATGGTTTAATCACGTGAAATATAAAATAAATCTGTATCACATTATAATCCCATAAAATTTATCACCTGATAAATTGACATCTTTGTATCAGAAAAAGACCATTGTTATCTTTTCAACATAGACAAGTATAATAAATGTGTTAAGAGTTTTAATGAAACTCTATGAAATCGCATTAATAAATGCTGTCTTTGAAAAACAATAAGAGTTAACTAGGCTTTTATAGTTATGACAAATATTATTAAAGTCACCGACTCTTATGACACTTTTTATAGACTTTAAAATAGGTTTATGAATTATTCAATCGATGTTTCTTCCTTACTATTCGTAGCTCCATATTTTTCTCTAGCTCTTTTCCTCCTCTTTGCTTCCCTTTTTCTAGCAATCTCTCTTTTAATAGCCGACTTACTTTGATCTCCATTATAATAATCATCCAACTTTTCAATCATTATCTTTCTTGCTATCGATCGATTTTGCTGTAGTGATCTTGTTTGCTGGCACTTTGTTCAAAAATCAGGTCTTTTAACAAGAAAAGAATTTACAAATATGAAAATTTTCAATGTAATTTAATTACCACAACTCTAACGCCGGTCGGAACATGTCTCAAATCAACACAATTCGACGTTTTGTTTAT